TTTCCCCATGTAAATTTCTTTTTGTTATTTATAATACTTGTTAAATGGCAACTGGGAGTCTGGGACTTGCCCCATTTATTTTAGTGATTTGGCTTTTGAATTTATAAAAAGTTTTGTGACCTTTAAATTTTAATATTAGTCATGACGACAGTGACAGTAGACTGCATGACAGCAATTGGTGAGTCTCTAAGCAATAGCAACATTAGTTTATTTTTATAAGAGTTATTAATAGTATTATGATTTTATTGGATAAAAAGTGTTATTGAATGAAAGAAGATTGTATGTTTGACTTTAATTGGCTAATATTTATTTTCAACATATATCCCTTGGTCAGATGTTCATTAAAAATTTCAAACAACAAATTGAGAATAAAAATAATATCTTGCACTGCTCGTAGTAGATTAGCAGTTACACGTTAACAACCACAAATGTATACTACTATTATATATTATCCAAAGAGAACACACGTCAAATAGTAGCTACTAATCAAGAGTACTTGAATTCTTGTAATTAATTTAGAATTGATTTCCTATTTAACTAAACAAAATGAGTTTATTTGACTTTAAAAGTCAATTTTGCAACTCTATTCAGGATTTGGGGGATGGGAGGAGGGGGATAAGGAATTGAGTTCCGGGCGTGTTAAGACATTTTTACTTGGAACTGTTTTAAGTCTCGACCAAACCAGACATTTTAAAACCAAATTAGATCACAATAGACCAAACCAAACTTAAACTGATCAGTTAAAATCAGAAAATTTTAATCCAATTAAGGATGTCTTTTGGACTGTTTTCCGTCCCAGACCAGACCAGACTTCTGTAGTTATAAAATACACACAGACCAGACGTTTACCAGACCAGCCCAGTTAAGACCAAATCAGATCAGACCAGACCAAATCATTAAATTTCAGTCCAAAAGAAAACATCCTAAAAACATCCTTATTACTTTTATTAGTGTTATTTTAGGACATTAAAATGAGTTATTTATCAATATAGGACCAAAAGCCGGTCGGTTTGCACAAATAGGACCAAAAAATAAATTATGTTTCATAGGACTAATTATGTGTGTGTTGGACAAATATACCCTTGTAGCAATCGAAATGTTTTAATTCATAATAATAAAAAAATAAAAAATCGTAAAAAAATATTAAAAATTAATAAAAAATGTTTAAAAACATTAATTTAAAAAAATTGAACAAAATGAAAAAAATGCAAAAAGAAAAATCATCGCCGCCTCTGTCGCCCCAACACCACCACCTCTGGTCACCCGGGGGGATGCCACATGCATTAGGAATCTATAGATAATACAATTCAAGGTTACAATTAGGGAAAGTTTTGCCATGTGTCATCTTCTAAAGCAAAGATTCATTATAATATTCTAGATTCTCTTTCTAAATTAGTATATTAATTAATTAATTAATTAATTAATTAAAAATACTTCGTTACATGTATTCAACTTGGATTCGTATGCTAATTTTTTATTATCTTTCATATTACACCAATATTGAATATATAAGAATAAAAAACAATTTAACAATAAAACATCCATTTTCTAAGTTTTGTTGCATTTTATTTTTATATATTCAATATTGGTGTCATATGAAAGATAATAAAAAATTATAAATTATGACATATTTTTTGTAACAATTAGAGTACAAATAAAAAAGTTATAGCACTTTAAAATAAATATGAGATTTTATTTTTTGAATTACTTGACTTTATGAATTAAACGTTAGTACTACATATTACGTAGGATTCAACTTATAATAACTTTGTTCTAAAAATTAGCATACGAATCCAAGTTGAATACATGTAATTAACGAAGTATTTTTAATTAATTAATTAATTAATTAATTAATTAATTAATATACTAATTTAGAAAGAGAATCTAGAATATTATAATGAATCTTTACTTTAGAAGATGACACATGGCAAAACTTTCCCTAATTGTAACCTTGAATTGTATTATCTATAGATAACAATAATCGTATAATATGTCTTCAAGTAATGGGATATATACCCAATATTGAATACCCACTTCTCTTACTGCGGATAATTATAAGTATCAACCGACCAAATTTTTTCAAATTTATACGATGGGTACACACGGAATTCCAAGTATACCATGGAACACCCTGATTGATCTATTACTAGGATGTCGGATTACATATCTATAAAATGTAATGATCCAAATGGATAATTATCGGGATGATCCAGCAAATATTGGATATATACAGGTAATTATGAAAAGTCATAATTACACTATATACCCTACTATAGTAATCACCGACAATGGGATTACAACCATACTGAGCCGTATGATAGACCCCAATTGGTCTATCCTTCATAAGGGGTGTAAGTAATTGGACAGTAAAGTCACTTATTATCAAGTTTGATAATGGGATGAAGGGATAAAGAATATTATCCCTATATACTGACATGCCAAACAATATAATAACCATATTAAGTTACCATGAGGGTGATAAGAGGCTACTCAAAAATAATGAGTATCTATATCCCATTTATTGTTAATCCTCGACGTGATTACACGAACTTACATTTAGATAGGTACCATAGTAAGCTATGGGAAATTGGGGTACATAGTAAGTCAATATATCGGTTATTTTGATGACGTACCCCTGTTATCATATAAAATGAACCTATAATCTTGTAGGTTATCAATCCGTGGATGTATGTATCTTATGGTACACGTATAAGACTCATGAGTGTGTAATACTCTATCAAGCATATGTTATACTACATGATTATGAAATCTACTTGTAAATCTATTTATAAGTTGGTTATGACCCCGTCATAACCAACTTATGGATCGGAGTTAATATACACAATTATTTACCTACAATAGTTAAATCATGATGTACAAATACTTGACCGATGGTGCCGTAATAATGTATTACCAACTGTATTATTAACTACGGTAAATCGGTGAATCGAGCTCCATTATTGACTAACTTGTAATAATGGGTACAATGGGTTATAGATCGAGTATCTTACAACTCAATTCACGTGGGTCCCTATCCATAATGGTGATGAGACAACAGGGTTAAGAAAAGATTGGGGAATAGAACAGTCCATAACTAGTATTATTAGTTCAACCGGAATAGTGTATCAGGTTTTAATATGTAAATTGAGTACACTGCCCATAGATATATGGAAGTATCATTTGATTATGATACTATGATAATTAGTCCTAACATTGGATATACAAATGATAATGTGACTCGCATACGACAACTGTGTAATTTGTCTGCTTAATATAGTTCCCTATTCACTCGATTTGTACATAGTTTTACAAAATAATGTGTAGTGTCCGATTCCGTCACCTTGTCATTTATGAGAATTATCCATTGCATAATTTACTTATATCTATCGGTTCACCTACGACTATTGGCTGTAGTATGTAAGAGCATCTTTAATGGGAACATGGATTGTTTATAATGCATTGCCACATCATATTGAAGGAAAAAATATGTCTCCAGCGGAAATATGAATTCTGGCCGTGGTGCTGACTTGGACGGAAAATAAATGCACATTGTCTATCTCCCCTTCTACTTCTGGAGGGCGTGTCTCACATGCTGACTCACCAAAACAACCTTTATCTCATACTCCGTAGAATTATTTTGGCGCAATGGAAATTACTAGCAAAAGCTTTCTCTCCCTCCTGTACCGAGCTATAGCCTGCTTTACTAACCAAAAGCAACAACTAGTGCCCACTATTTAGCAGCCCCTTGTGATGCGGCGGCAGTCCTCTAGGCGGCGGCGGGCCGGCGGCAACAGCGGGCAGCCCCCTTTTCTCCAATTCGTTTTATTTTTCGGCATATAAAAACCGGCGAGAAGTGTTTCTTCTTTCATCGTGGCTTACTCGCTCGTTTCTCCTTCTTTGGCAGCACCATGATGGCATGATTATTTTATTATTTCCATTTCCCTGTAACAGAGTGACGGGCTCTACATTTTTACTAATATACAGTATATGTTCATGTTTGTTTATACACACCGCACACACGAGTTGGTCAAGAGACCGGTTGTGTGTTCCAATCTTCCTTTTGCAGATGCATGGTTCTTCGTCGGCATACATATATGTCGTATACTCAGTATAATCCCTATATCTTATAGGGAGTATATATATATAATCGAGACTATTGGCGGTCCGCTCATAATAATCCCAAATATTGATTATTCCAGAATAATCCCAACTTTAGGGACCTTCCGCCAATAATGGTCCCTATAAATAAATTCTTGTTGTTTGTAAAGTGGATGAGATGAGATATAGCAAAAAAAATCCCTATAAATAATGCCAACTTTTAATTTTTATGCTTAATTTCTATTTAAAATTCACTTGGTATAGGAGGTAATACCTTGTCATGGACCATTATTGGCAGACGGTCTATATAGTTGAGATTATACAAAAATAATCAATAGTTGGGATTATTGTCAGCGGACCGGCAATAGTTGAGATTATTATTTTCAATTTGTCCTATATACTATTATGAGAAACATATTTTGTATAATGATATGGTTTATGGTGAGTCGTAAATTGGGTATGAGTAGTAAATAATTAAATGCTTTGATTTTTTATTTAGAGAATGCGTATGGACTCCATTGGAGAGGAAATGTCATTTTGATTGTCTGTCCGTCCACGTCATCTTCACGGTCTATGCATATGGATGACATGTCCATTTTTTATGGAGTGTAATTCACGTTTCTATTGGAGATGCTCTAAGTATGATCGTTCGAGTCAATCCATTTCGACCCGGTCTTGGGGACTAAATTTAAAATTACAAGTCCCGAGTAGTTTGATTTAACATCAGTGAGTATGGACACTACCAATTGATTACCAAATTTTTGCCTTACATACTGTGAAATAATGGAACAAGATACTCTCTAAGGAGCCCTGGCAGATATATTTATAGGGAAAGAGTTAATTGTAAAAATACATAAATATCCCTATTCTAATTCTATTACCCCCCCCCCCCCCCTCAAGCTGTGCAGGAGAAACAACGCGCAGGTTGTCCTTTAAAAAATGAAAACGCTGACTAGGGAGGCTTTTAGTAAAAATATCTGCTAACTGCAAGTGAGTAGGAACATGTTTAACAAGAAGATCTCCATGAGCAACTCGTTCGCGAACAAAATGATAATCAATCTGGATGTGTTTACTTCGAGCATGCTGTACAGGATTAGCGGACAAATAGGAAGCAGAAATATTATCACATAATAAATGCACGGGTTCTGTCACAGAGAAACCAAGCTCAAATAATATGGACCGAATATGTAGTGTATCCTGGACAGTGTAAGCAATTGCACGATACTCAGCTTCCGTAGAGGATTTTGACACAGTCGGCTGCTTTTTGGACTTCCATGATATAAGATTCGGACCGAGAAACACAGCAAATCCAGTGGTGGAGCGAGAGCTATCTGGACATCTAGCCAAATCAGCATCAGAATAAGCAATCACACAAGTAGGTTTGGCCGAATGCTGGAGCCACAAACCATGATTACGTGTGCCCTGCAAATACCTGAAAATTCTTTTGACTGCAAAAAGATGAGTAGTGCGTGGTGCATGCATAAATTGAGACACCAAGTGTACTGCATAAGTCATATTAGGCCGTGTCAAAGTTAAATATTGCAATGCACCTACCATACTGCGATACTCAGTGGAGTCAGAAAGCAGCTCACCATCAGATAGAGATAATGTGGTGCGAGATGCTAATGGAGAAAAACTCTAGCTCTGATACCATGTGAAATAATGGAACATGATACTCTCTAAGGAGCCCTGGCAGATATATTTATAGGGAAAGAGTTAATTGTAAAAATACATAAATATCCCTATTCTAATTCTATTACATACAAGTCTTATATTTGTATAGTCAGAAATTTTATAACCCTAGTTATGCTAAATTTTGTTGGGGAAAAACACGGCCCCCGACCTCTTCCAGGATCACCAGCTCAAAGGACTCTTGTACATTCACCCACCCACTCGTAACACAAAGATTCAATCTAACAATATCACTTTGTATATATTATACAATTGAAATGTACAAGAGATATTTTACAAGTAAACGGGTAGCTCACATCACTCTTTGTATATGAGACTACTTCACTCACACACACCTCTCTCAAGGAAACACTCACTCACTCAAGAGCTCTCCTCAAGGCTCTCTCTCTCATCACTTGAGGAGGCTCTCTCTCTAGGCCCTCACATGGCTCTCTCACTAAGCTCTCTCCTTTAGGAATGAGGAATCTCACCCCTATTTATACAACTCATCTCAAAGCTTCTCTAGAACTTTCCATACATCACTACATTTCTAGATTCTTCCAAGAACTATCCACAAGCTTCTCTAATCTTCTAGAAGGATCTAGAGAACTCCACATCACTTGAGAATGTTCTAGAGGCTTCCACAAACTCTTGCACGATTCTAGAGATTTCCACATTTCTCTAGAAAACTCCACAATGTTCTAGAATATTCTACACTCTTCCACACGCTTCTAGATAATTCCACGTCTCTCTAGAAAGCTCCGAAATATTCTAAAACATTCAATACTTCTCTACGCACATCTAGAGAATTCTAGACATCTCCGCACTATTCTAGAATTCTCACGAACTTCTCAATTAAGGAGGGAACCCAACAAATCTCCCCCTACCGACATAATTGAGATGTAACACTCAACCACCAATACGAGCCTCACATTTAGACTCAACAGTCTTCACCTTGGATGTGAGTTGCTCCCCCTCAAACAATGCTTGCATCACACCATATGAGCAGCCATCAAGAAATGGTCATGATCTCTTCCGCAGCAAGAAATGATTCACCAAACTCTTTTGTACCGCCGTTATCTACTAACGGGACACGCCGCCTGATCACCTCAATATCAGGAAGACTTTCGATACAACGCACCAATAGTAGATCAAATCGCAAGACCAAACCATGTATGAGATATTCTCAAGAAGATCTCCTCTCCGCCAACACTTGACCTGCAATTCTTCTTGTACCGCCGTTGTTTACCAACGGGACACGCCGTCTGACCACCACAATATCAGGAAGACTTTCGATACAACGCACCACAAGCAGACCAAGATATGAGACCAGTCTGAGAACCACCCCCACAATGCATTCTGTCACTCTGCTCCATATATGTATGACCCAAGCTCCATAGTGAAGTCCAACATCCCATCAAAGAGCATGATCTCGAATGCCTCTACCAACACTGCTACCATTACAGTAAGACGAGATCTACCCCCATGACAAACTCTACCCGTTACTTTACCTCCAACAACCTCGACTCTGATACCACTGTTGGGGAAAAACACGACCCCTGACCTCTTCCAGGATCACCAGCTCAAAGGACACTTGTACATTCACCCACCCACTCGTAACACAAAGATTCAATCTAACAATATCACTTTGTATTATACAATTGAAATGTACAAGAGATATTTTACAAGTAAACGGGTAGCTCACATCACTCTTTGTATATGAGACTACTTCACTCACACACACCTCTCTCAAGGAAACACTCACTCACTCAAGGTCTCTCCTCAAGGCTCTCTCTCTCATCACTTGAGGAGGCTCTCTCTCTAGGCCCTCACATGGTTCTCTCACTAAGCTCTCTCCTTTAGGAATGAGGAATCTCACACTACAAGAAAATTGACTTTCTGCGACTAACAATTTGCGACCGACTTCAAATATGGCCGCAATAAGTATACAAATAACGACCACATTTTATATAGTCGCAAATTTATTAACTTTCCGGGACCAGTTCCATTATTGTTCGCTATTTGTGCAACTTCCCGTCCCTAAAGGTTTTCGTTTTGGCGGGCGACGCGAACCCAAAAACTATAGCGCCCACATTTTTAATTTTCACTTTTTTTTATTTTGTTTTTTGCTTTAACTAAAATTGGAAGAAACTCAGGATGCTTGGAACCCTAGACGCCGCTCATAACCTTTTTTTCGCTCTGAGAAAAACCATCTCTCTACCGACGAAGAATCCGGTCCTAATCGGCATCACTGGAATGGAAGAGGCTGCTCGCAGGTTCAATCGTCTATCATTTTGACGCTCTGCAACTCACTTGGGTGATTCACAAAGATGAAGGCCGCATCAAGTTGTCCAGGTAAAGGAAATCTCATCACTATTTAGCAATATTATCTATTCAATAAGAAAGAAAGGGGAGGATTCGTTGTGAAGATAATCTGAAATTTCATACTACGTACTCCGTATAATTTTTGCTTGAAAGCAAGACAAAAACCTAGACGAAAACAATGGAGAACTTTGATAGCTTCGATCTAGAAGACTAGAACACATGGAAATGCCCAAACCGCCCAAAGTTTTTGAAAGTCAGGCAACACGTTTCCAAAATATATATAGTTTCGCCAAAAATTAAAACTACAGAGTTTAAAAATTAGGATTTTGCAGAGTATGTGCAGTCTTCAACATCAACAGCTGACCGTCTTTGGTGAACATTCTCTCTCAGCATCTGTGCGCATCGTCTTCAGCGGCTTAAGGTAAGGCACGACCTTTCCCTTCTTCTGCTTTGCTGACTGCATTTACCATCATTTCAAGCTGACCTTCTCTTATCTGTACATGGCATCTTGTTTGGTTTCTCAATAGCAGAGTTCTCCTGATCGAGTCTGTGGGTGGGGTTGTAAATAAATGTTCTAGTAGCATGAGTAATGTTGGAGACTGATCCTAATAGGGGAGTTTACTGATCCTTGGTGTTAGTTGATATTATAAAACGAGAAATGAAATTGCTATTAGTCTGTTAAGATTTACAGTTTTCTCGACTCACATAAGATTAAGGTGACTGCCTTTTTAAACCTGGAAATATTTTAATCTGCTATGCATACACATACCCTTTCCTACCTTAGTTTAATTCCATAGCCTGTGTGTTGAAATAATGCTTGGTCCTTACTCATTTTTGGGTGTTTTTCTTTTTCTTTTGGGAGTTGTCTTGAATACCTCTTCTGATTTTCTTCCCTTTTTAGCTTTTTTGGAATTATCTTCAAATGATGGCATAATAGATCTATTTATCCTAATTTATATATTATTATTTTAGTGAAGCTGTTTTCTATATTGGAAGTTAAGCTAAAATAAGTTGGGATTAAGGAACTGTAGTTCTCTTTTATCGTTACTTTGAGGTGGAATTATAGGTTTTAAAGATTGAATTACGTTTTTGTACTTTTGATTAATACAAAATTTTTGATACATCTTTTGGTGATCACCCCTATTTATACAACTCATCTCAAAGCTTCTCTAAAACTTTCTATACATCACTACATTTCTAGATTCTTCCAAGAACTATCCACAAGCTTCTCTAATCTTCTAGAAGGATCTAGAGAACTCCACATCACTTGAGAATGTTCTAGAGGCTTCCACAAACTTCTGCACGATTCTAGAGAATTCCACATTTCTCTAGAAAACTCCACAATGTTCTAGAATATTCTACACTCTTCCACACGCTTCTAGATAATTCCACGTCTCTCTAGAAAGCTCCGAAATATTCTAAAACATTCAATACTTCTCTACACACATCTAGAGAATTCTAGACATCTCCGCACTATTCTAGAATTCTCATGAACTTCTCAATTAAGGAGGGAACCCAACAAATTTACCCTATCAATTAGGTTGTAAATGGGTTACTTACGGTATATTAGTCAACTAGTTTTCAAGCCCGTGCGATGCACGGGCAATACATAATTTAGCTAATTTTCAATTTGTTTTTTTGGGATTGTATATAATATGATGCAAAAGCAAAATAAATTTAGTCTAAATATAGAGTTCGTTTGATAATACTAAAATTGGTGAAATCAGCTTATTTTACTAAAACTGATTAAATTTTGACTGAATGGACTGAATAGGCAGAATATCCTGAATTATAAAAAAACAATATACTCCATTTGTGAAATAAAGAAAAAATTATATGAAGAATATTTAAATGTTCTTCCACATAAGCATCTCAAATAATCATAATTATTGTGAACCCGATTTTAAAGAATTCACATAGAAGCTTCTTCATTAATCTCACGCCCTCTAAATTACTTTATTAAGCACCTCAAAATATATTCTTTCATATTCCTCATTCAACTTGATATGAAATATGGAGTACATACAATTTACTCATTATTAAAATGTACAAAAAATGGAGTATTTTTAATTTGTGACATTGAAAACGATTTTTAATTGTTATGAACGCCTGGATTACTTTATTGAGCATTCCAAAATAATTTTTTTTAATATTTCTCATTCAACTTGGTATGATATACGAAGTACATGTTTTTAAATTTTAATAGTGAAATCTAACATTTTACTCATTATTTCGTCACATTAAAAACTCCATTAACAAGGATGCTTTTAGTTGAATTAAAATTTACGGGTTTGATTTGGTCGGAAGTAATAGGATCTGGTAGATGTCTGTTTTACATTTTATGTGTTCTATTATTATTATTATTATTATTATTATTATTATTATTATTATTATTATTATTATTATTATTATTATTATTATTATTATTATTATTATTATTATTATTATTATTATTATTATTATTATTATTATTATTATTATTATTATTATTATTATTATTATTATTATTATTATTATTATTATTATTATTATTATTATTATTATTATTATTATTATTATTATTATTATTATTATTATTATTATTATTATTATTATTATTATTATTATTATTATTATTATTATTATTATTATTATTATTATTATTATTATTATTATTATTATTATTATTATTATTATTATTATTATTATTATTA